CCATAATAAAACGCAATGGTTTATACAGGATTGTGCTACAAGGGGAATGTAAGCAGGAGATACTCACAAGCAGGAAGCCTCTTTTCTCCTAGGACTGACTTTTGAACTGTGTAAGGAGCTGCCAGATTCTATTGTCACTTGGACAGTGCCCTATAAACAGCTCTTGACTGACCAACAAAACGCTGCTTGGTTTATGGATGGCAGTTCCAAGGTAAATGGCCAATATCCTGTTTGGAAGACTACCACTCTGACTGAAGAAGGTAAAAACCAATCAGTTTGGTGGGATGAATTACATGCTGTTTACCTAACAGGGATGGAAGAATCGAACAACAATGAAAGCCTCTATGTTTTGTTTTTTACCTGACTCATAAGTGATGGCCAATGGTCTGGCCATACCGATAAGCAGAGGGCTATGGAAGTCTGGTCTACTAAAAGGATGTCCATATGGACCATAGCCCTATGGAAATCACTATGGGAATTGGACGGGTACATTAAAGTAGGACAGGTTGATGCCTAACAGAAGAAACCCCTTTCATGATTAGATGATGACCAATCATCCATGGATATTATGGGGTATCAGCTTGAGGCGGCCACTTGGGTCCATGAAATAAGTGGACATTTGGGGACCAAAGCAGTGCAGAGGGCTGAATCTGCACATATTCCTTTTGTACCCTCTGAGGCTCAAAATGCCAACAAGAACTGTTCATTATGCCAACAAGAAAAACAGAGGGTGCAGATGGCTATGGGGGGGATTCCTCAGGGGGAAGACCCCACACACAGCTTGCAAGTGGGTTACTCTGAACCAATGTCAGTAGCCCCAGTGGGGCTACAAATGGGTTTTGATAGAATAGGCGTTGACTCTGGACTGGGCTTTGCTTACCTGGTGGTAGAGGCAAATGGTACAACTACTATAAAAGAACCAGAACAGAAGATATTGTACCCATCTGGACCACCAAATCACATTTATTCAGAGCAAGGGGCACACTTTACAGCTAATAATATCAAATAATGAGTAGGCAGAGAGATACTCTCCTCAGAATAATAGTTTCATAGAGAATTGGAACAAGCAGTTGAAACGTGGGTTGTTTAAAACAGGGGGAAATGTAGGCATGAAAGGTTGGTTTATATGTCTTCAAGAGTGTGTGTTCAGGGACTTCCCTGGTGGCGCAGTGGTTAAGAATCCGCATGCCAATGCAGGGGACACGTTCGAGTCCTGGTCTGGGAAGATCCCACATGCCACGGAGCAACTAAGCCCATGTGCCACAACTACTGAGCCCACACGCCTAGAGCCGGTGCTCCACAACAGGAGAAGCCACCGCAATGAGAAGCCCACGCACAGCAACGCAACTAGAGATAGCCCGCGCACAGCAACGAAGACCTAACGCAACCAAAAATAAATTAATTAATTAATTTTAAAAAAAAAAAAGAAAAAGAGTGTGTGTCCACACTCAACATTAGAGGAGCTAAGGCAGTGTTGTCCCCACTAGATAGACTCCTCTGTTTTTCTGGTGGATCTGGGGAAGAGACGGTGGGGAGAGGCTGCTAGTATGACTATGCAATTTTTTCCATGGGAGGAAGATCATGGTATGATTATATGATTCTTTCCAAGGAGAGAGGACACTGGTATGATAACTATACTTTTTTTTCTTCTCCACATACCTCAACTTTCTCTTTCCTATCTGATGCCCTGTAGTCACAGGACCAGGGATACAACTACAAGTGCCAGAAACAGGGATGATTTCTAAGCAAGAAACTGTAACTATAGTTTTAAACCTTTATGTCAGAATTCCTAAAGGCCTGATAAGGCAGGTTATGTCTTCATTCCATTTAGCAAAATCAAGGTTAACACTGAAAGTAGCCACTGCCTGGTGGTAAAAATAGCCCACTAGTTCCGTACCTAAGTAACTCTACCCTATATGAATAGAAGTGAACTGAAGGGGAGGCACTTACTAGACTAGTATTGTTGCCTGAAATCTAGAACATGACAGTAGCTGAATCTAAAGTTCCTTCCAAAGGTGGAAAAGTTTAAGTATAAATAAATGGAGAGAAGGAGGAATAGTAGTTGAGGGCAAAGGAATGAATCAATGGGCTATGCAATGAAGGAAAGCCAATATTATATTACAATCTCAATAGAGACTCAGGGCAAGGGAATAATATTGTGTTTTAGCTTAGTTATACCAGATGCTTGAAAAGATGAAGCCATGTATTGCTGAGACACTCCTGCATTTGGAGCCTGACAAGATCAAATGGAAGCCTGCAAATCTGAGTGCTCTCACCCTAGAAGACATTTTCATATGCTGACGATGCACTGGACTAATTAGTGACTGAGTGTGACTCTCGTAATGTGCCAGTATGTTTTGACTTCTGTGATGCATTTGCTATAAGAAATTCATGGTCAAAGACTACATTTGGTCTTTGTCCCAGGTTCCTGGTACGAAGTTCCTAAAACCCTTGAAATTTCCTGAGTGATAAGAGTGTCTTTTCTTATTCATAACAAGCCCCTTTCAATCACACCTGAGTTTATGCTACTGGGGTGACTTAAGGTGCAGCCCCTAGATAGCCTCAGGATGGGTTGGTCACCAGAAAGACCAAGTGATTAGAGGGCTGGAACTTTCACCCACCAGCCTCCAGGAAAGGCACTGGAGATTGAGCTCTATAAAAACTCTTGAACTGTAAGATTTAGAGAGCGTCTGGTGAAGACATCAAGCTGCTTAGAAGGTGGTGTGCCCAGAAAGGGCATGGAAGCTCTGCACCCTCCCATCCCATAGCTTGCCCAATGCACCTCTTCCATTTGTCTGTTCCTGAGTTGTGTCCTTTATGATAAACCAGTAATGGTATGTAAAGTGCTTTCCTAAGTTCTGTGAGTCATTCTAGGGAATTATCAAACCTGAGGGCGGAGGTGGTTGTGGGAAATCCCGAATTTGGAGTCAAGTTGGACAGAAGTTCAGGTAACTTGGGGACCTGGTACTTTTAAGTGGTGTCTAAAGTGAGGGCAGTCTTGTGGGACTGAGCCCTTAACCTGTGGGTTCTGCACTAATTCTAGAAGTTAGCATAAGAATTGAATTGAATTGAATTGCTGGATGCCCAGTTGGTGTCCAGAGAATTGGAGAATTCGTGGAAAATATCCCAGACAAACTTTCTATCATGAACATGTATTATTTTTATGATGGAAAAGAGTAAAATAAACATATTATTTAAAAAATGAAAGACAACCCACAGAATGGGAGAAAATATTTGCAGATGAAGCGACCTACAAGAGATTAATCTCCAAAATATACAAACAGCTCATGCAGCTCAATACCAAAAAGACAAACAACCCAATCAAAAAATGGGCAGAAGGTCGAAATAGACATTTTTCCAAAGAAGACATAAAGATGGTCAAAAAGCACATGAAAAGATGCTCAACATCACTAATTATTAGAGAAACGCAAATCAAAATTATGATGAGGTACCACCTCACACTGGTCAGAATGGCCATCATAAAAAAGTCTACAAACAATAAATGCTGGAGAGGGTGTGGAGAAAAGGGAACCCTCCTACACTGTTGATGGGAGTATTAATTGGTACAGTCACTATGGAGAACAGTATGGTGGTTCCTTAAAAAACTAAAAATAGAGCTACCATATGATCCAGCAACCCCACTCCTGGGCATATATCCAGAGAAAATCATAATTCGAAAAGATACATGCACCCCAATGCTCACTGCAGCATTATTTACAATAGCCAGGACATGGAAACGACCTAAATGTCCATCAACAGATGAATGGATAAAGAAGATGTGGCACATATATACAATGGAATATTATTCACTCATAAAAGAACAAAACTGAGTTATTTGTAATGAGGTGGATGGACCTAGAGTCTGTCATACAGAGTGAAGTAAGTCAGAAAGAGAAAAATACCATATGCTGACGAATGTATGTGGAATCTAAAAAAAGGTACTGATGAACCTAGTGGTAGGGCAGGAATGGAGATGCAGACATAGAGAATGGACTTGAGGACACAGTGGGGGAAGAGGAAGCTGGGACAAAGTGGGAGAGTGCCATTGACATGTATGCACTACCAAATGTAAAATGGATGGCTGGTGGGAAGGTGCTGCACAGCACAGGGTGATCAGCTCGATGCTTTGTGATGACCCAGAGGGGTGGGATAGGGAGGGTGGGAGGGAAGCTCAAGAGGGAGGGGATATGGGGACATATGTGTACAAACAGCTGATTCACTTTGTTGTACAACGGAAACTAACACAGCATTGTAGAGCAATTATACTCCAATAAAGATGAAGAAAAAAAAGATGTGGTATGTATATACAATGGAATATTAGCCATAAAAAAGAATGAAATAATGCCATTTGCAGCAACAAGGATGGGCCTAGAGGTTGTCGTACTGAGTGAAGTAAGTCAGACAGAGAAAAACAAATATCATATGATATCACTTATATGTGGAACCTAAAGAAGAATGGTACAAATGAACTTATTTACAAAACAGAAATAGAGTCACAAATGTAGAAAACAAACTTATCGTTACCGAGGAGGAAGGAGGGGGAGGAATAAACTGGGAGATTCGGATTGACATATACACACTACTATATATAAAATAGATAATAAGAAGCTACTGTATAACACAGGGAACTCTACTCAGTAATCTGTAATGAAAGAATCTAAAAAAGAGTGGATATATGTGTATGTATAACTGATTCACTTTGCCGTACAGCAGAAACTAACACAACATTGTAAATCAACTATACTCCAATAAAAATTAATTTTAAAAAAATTAAAAAAAGAAGTTAGTATAACTTGAACACTGAATAAGCACCTTAAATTCTCAAAATTTGCTGATATCCTGTAGCAAATTATTAAATGTAAATATTTGTAAAGTGAACAAAACTGAATTCCTTCCAACTCAACCCACAAATGCAAGTTTTCCTCGGAGATTTCCTGATTTCTTCTCCATGTTGAGCCTGAACGATATCTTTAGTTTCTGGTCTATACACTACGGCTCACCTCCTATGTCTTCATCTTGATTGGCTGGGCCTTCTGTACCATCCACATTTTCTGTTTCATGAGGTTTGGTTAAATCGTAGTCATGCAAAAGCACCGAACCTTCTAGGAGATAAGAAGAATTTTAACTATGCAGTCAACTTTAAAGGATTTTTATAAACATGTATTAAGTAAGACTCCTATTTCAGCTTCACCCAATCCCTTAGTGATAGACAATATCGCTTTCACATACACCCAAGTAAGATAAATGTGAAAACTCTTGAGGTTTAGAAAGATGCCCAAGGTTCATGTGCCTTTCCATTAGACATCATTTTCTTGACTATTTCTTTCACCTGAGTTAAAATGCACTCAAGTTCCTTTGGATTGAAATTCTCTCTCCTTTGGTATATCTCACAATATTCAGTAGGATGCTATTGCTAGTTAAGACCAAGAAATATTAACATATAGTGATGAGAAATACTGAGTCTGAAACTACTGGCATAACTCAATTTGGGAAAGATGCTTTCCTGAGAGGAAGGCTGTAAGCTTCTGTACCAAATCCTATTTTCCCTTTCTGTTCACATTATAAATATGATTCTGTGGAAAGCATATTGGCCCCCAAATTCCTGTATTTCATCAAACATTTACTAAATGTTGACAAGGCTACAGATATGAATAGGTTATAATTCCTGTCTTCAAGGAGCTTATACACTACAGATGTAGATAAAACAAATGCACAACTATAATGCAAGACTCAGGCCTATAATGTAGACTTGGACATGAGATTAAGGGGAAAAAAAGTGTTATGGGAGGTCCTACGTAAAAGGCAGTAGACATAATAAAAGCATGGTTAAATAAACAGCAAACTTACTAAAAATCAAGTTTAACAAAAATATAATTTTGTACAATAAATATTGATAATATTAGAAGTAAGGAAGAAGGCATGACGTAGCTGGAATTATTTCACATATAAGCATGGTAGCTTAACAAAAAGATGATAAAAGAAATGAACAGAAAATACACCTGCTTGCTATCAAACTCCTTCCCAATTTTCAATAAAATATTTGCTGAGAATCTATTACATGCAACAAATAAAGACACTGAATCCTGTGGCACTAAGGAGGGGCTGAAATAAGAGAGGTGATTAGAAACTGCAGGGGCTTCCTTTCAGCTGCAGGCATGACTGAACACATGGAGCAGGACATTTTACTGGCATGTAGGAGTAAAATGGAAACATATTACATAAAATCCATGACTGAGAGGTCCTGAAAATGTGGTCATCGTGGACTCAGGTTTTGATTTATAGGTAAAATTTATCTTTTCTGCATATTATAACATATACTCTTAGACAGTAAGACTCTAAATAGTTTACTTTTCTCAAGCCTGAAATAACGGACGTAAAGTGCACGCCTGAACAACTAATATGAGGTACAGGTTCAATTAAAACATAAGGTTAGGGCTTCCCTGGCGGTGCAGTGGTTAAGAATCCACCTGCCAATGCAGGGGACACGGGTTCAAGCCCTGGTCTAGGAAGATCCTACATGCCACAGAGCAACTAAGCCCATGCGCCCCAACTACTGAGCCTGCGCTCTAGAGCCCGCAAGCCACAACTACTGAGCCCACGTGCCACAACTACCGAGCCCACGTGCCTAGAGCCCATGCTCCACAACAAGAGAAGCCTCTGCAATGAGAAGCCCGCACACCACAACGAAGAGTAGCCCCTGCTCGCCGCAGCTAGAGAAAGCCTGTGAGCAGCAACAAAGACCCAATGCAGCCAAAAATAAGTGAATAAATAAATAAAATTTAAAAAGCCAAAACCCCAAAAACATAAGGTTACAACTCACAGTAATATAACAAGGCACTTAGGTGGTAAATTTTGTAATAGAGCAAAAGCTTTGATTCAAACAAAGTGAGTTAATCAATGGAGAAAACACAGAAGTTATTGTTAGGAGATAGATTACTTTAAATGTTTATAGTTTATTCTGGAGCAGGGGTCAGCAAACTGTGGCCTGAGGCCAAATCTAGCCATGGTCTGTTTTTGTATGGACCCAGGAGGTAAGAATGGTTTTTACAGTTTTAAAGGATTGTAAATAACATAAAGAGGAATAGGCAACAGAGACCATATATGGCCCACAAAGTCTAAAATATTTACTCTCCGGCCCTTTACAAAAAGTTTGCTGACCACTGTTCCTGAGTGAAAAGCACAAGTTGTTCAAATAACAGCTACTATATTGTTCAACAAAAACTGTCTTTATTCAAACCAATCAGTTGAAAAAATGTGAAAAGAAAATAAAAAACCAGTGATTAACGTTAGGTAGATGGTTTGGCTCTGTGATGCCAAAGAACTTATATGATCTAAATGGATATGTTATTTTTGTATCAGGAAGAGACAACCACATTTTTCCCCCAACACATTTCCATAGCATTTTTATTGCAATCAGAATATTCCTCTTCCTTTGGTCTATTCAGTAACGGTATATTTTCAGAGTGGAAAGACCTGATGTTACCTGTGGGCACAGACTGCTCTTGAGTGCTTTTCAGTTCCACATTTGGTTTTATATCTGAAAAGAAAAGGATTACAAATATTAGCTACTTAGAGTAAATTTTTTCAGATTTGGGCACTCTAAATTTAATAAGGATACTATTTTGGAAGACTTAATTGCTGATTTCCTCTTCAGAGCAGGACTAATCCTTTCTCTATATCCTCCCTAAAATATGCCTCAAGGAGAATAAAAGGAATCCATGCAGCAATTATACTTTAAAGAGATTAAGTGGAACAAATTAGTACTTTGTATTTACCCACATACTTACCATTTCTGGTGCTTTTCATTTTTTCATAAAGACCTGAGTTCCTTTCTGGTATTGTCTCTCTTCAGTCTAAAGAGCTTCCTTTAGCATTTCTAGTAGGGCAGCTGTATGAATGACAACTTTTCTTAGTTTTCATTTATTTGGAAATATCTTTATTTTGCCTTCAACTTTAAAGGTTGTTTTTACTTGACATAGAATTATGGGTTGACAGTTTTCTTCTGGCACTTTAAAGATGGCATTCCACTATCTTCTATCCTCTGTTGTTTCTGATGAGAAGTCAGTGATATTTTGTATTGTTGTCTTCCTATATATACGTATTCTTTCTCTCTGAATGCTTTCAAGATTTTCTCCTGACTTTTGGTTTTTAGCAGTTTGACTGTGATATGTCTAGGTGTGGTTTTATCCGCATTTATCCCACTTGGGTCCACCGAACTTTTTATGTGTAAAATTATGTTTTTTACCAAACCTGAGAAATTTTCAGCCATTATTTCTTCAAATACTTTTTCTCCTCCATTCTCTTGCCCCTTTTCTTCTAGGACTTCATTTACATGTATGTTAGACTTTTTCATATTTTCCCACAGTTCCCTGAGGTTCTATTCTTTCCCCCCCCAAAATTCTTTCCTCTGTTGCTCAGATTGAATATTTTTATTGATAAATCTTCAAGTTCACTTACTCTTTCTTATCTCATCTTAATGTGCTGTCAAGCCTATCCAGTGAGTTTTCTATTTCAGATATTGTAATTTTTAGTTCTAGAATTTCCATTTTGTTCTTTTTTCTAGTCTCTCTGCTAGATTTCCTTTTTGTTAATTCATTACAAGCATATTTTCCTTTGCATCTTTTTTTTTTTTTTTTTTGTGGTACGCAGGCCTCTCACCACTGTGGCCTCTCCCATTGCGGAGCACAGGCTCCGGATGCGCAGACTCAGCGGCCATGGCTCATGGGTCTAGCCGCTCTGCGGCATGTGGGATCCTCCCGGACCGGAGCATGACCCCGCGTCCCCTGCATCAGCAGGCGGACTCTCAACCACTGCACCACCAGGGAAGCCCTCCTTTGCATCTTTGAGTATAATTATTATACTTGTTTAAGATCCTTGTCCAATACCTGTCACTTTGGGCTCAGTCATCTTTGGTTTCCTTTTCTCTTGAGTATGGGTCACATTTTCTTGTTTCTTCATATAACCTAATAATTTTGGATTGTACCCTGGACATTATAAAGATATTACAGAATTTCTGGAGTCTGTTATGTTCTTTTGAAGCATATAGGATCTTTTCTTTGTTTATTTTACTTTTTAAAGCATGTAGTTAAACTCAAATTCTGTTTCATTTGTGGTGGGCAGCAGCTAGCATAACCAATTGTCCCAGTATACTTGGGATTGAGGATTTTCCCAGACCCCAGAACTTTCACAGCCTCAGGGAACCTGGGACAAGTTGGTCACTCTTGCAGAAGTGTAAATCTCTACTCAGTTACTTTCACCTCTGATGGATTGCTCAGGGTATGACCCATACATGTGTAGTTCAAGGATTAGCTAAAGATTTGGTCCAGCCAGAGAATTTATACACAAAAAGCCCTCTCTGCCCTCTCCATTCTAGGATTTCCCTCTTTGCCTCCCAACTGTTGTGATTGCTATCGTTTTTTAAGCTAGTAAAACTGTGGATTATCTACTCAAGTTTTGGTCACCCTGATGCTAAAACTGGGGCCTGCCCTTGGGCAAAAAAGCCATAAAAACAAGTTGGTAACAGGTAACAGATTTTTTTCATATTTTGTCCAGAACCTATAATTGTTATCTGTTGGAAGTTTGGTTCAATAGGAGGTACTCTTCTATTACTAGAAATTGAAACTCTTGGGACTTCCCTGGTGGCACAGTGGTTTAGAATCCACCTTCCAATTCAAGGGATATGGGTTCAATCCCTGGTCAGGGAACTAAGATCCCACATGCCACAGGGCAACTGAGCCCATGCACTGCAACTACTGACCCTAGTGGAAGAAAGAAAAGAAAGAAAGAAAGAAAGAAAGAAATTGAAACTCTCCTTTGTTCTTTTTTTTTTTTTTTAATATTTATTTATTTATTTGGCTGCACCAGGTCTTTAGTTGCGGCATGCAGGACCTTCGTTGCCACGTGCAGGATCTTTAGTTGTGGTATGCAGAATCTTTGGTTGCAGCATGTGGGCTCTTAATTGCGGCATGCGGGATTTAGTTCCCTGACCAGGGATCGAACCTGGGCTCCCTGCATTGGGAGCCCGGAGTCTTAACCTCTGGACCATCAGGGAAGTCCCTGCTCTTTATTTTAATGGTGATCATATACCCAAAACTGCTCCGGATAGCACTGATTTCAAATATTCTATACTATATTTCAGACATATTCCAATTATTGTTTTGAAAAATGTAGTCACTGTACTTACATTCTATCTAATTTTAAAAGTTTAACACACCACCCATTAAATGTTAGCAGCAAAGCATAAGGGCAGGGAAAATACAAATATTTTTAAAGTGAGCAAAGGGGCAGCCTGCTATGTGGGGTCAAAACCCAAGATGGGTGAAAGAAACATCTATACAAGGAATGCGGACAGGCTAGGCAGGCTGCTGGAGACCAACCAGCATGAAGAATGTGCCTGTGTGTGGTGGGCATTCAGAATGAAATGAGGAGGGATTCTATATGAAGGGCAGACAGCATGGGAAGTCAGAGCCTGAGACAGATAAGAAGGGCGGGAGAATTACGTGGCCTGGAGTGTTACAGTCTGAGAGGCATGAAGAGGATATCCAAGTAAGTGATGGCCTGGCATGAAGAGTCACAGCCTGAGCATAGTGAAGAGGACATCTATGCCTGGGGGTGCTCCGGTTTCAGAGAGTAAACAGGGTGAGCAAGGTACCTGCACAGGGGCAGTGGGGGCTGGCACCAAGGAGCCCAAATGGAGTGAGGAGAGTTTGTGTGCATGGATGTGGTCCAGTGCAAAGTGTCCAAACTTGAGTGGGGTGAAGAGGGCATCCACATATTAGGCGCAGCCTTGCACTGGGATGTCAGACACCAACAGCTGAAAAGGGTGTCCACATAGATCAGTGGCTGTAGGACAGAATGTCAAAACCCAAATGAGGCAAGGAAAGCATCTTCACTGAAGAGGAGATGGCAGTGGCGATGGATGACTGGTTATATAAAGGAGGATTGATCAAATAAGAAAAATATAATAACAGATAATGAGACCCAGGTTTTCTCTGTCAGAGAAGGGAGTTACAAATATGGAAACCTGTGGTCCTATATTGGAAATGCAAGTATTGGCAGGAACACATGGCTTCTACTGTATATCAATTGATACAAAATATAGATGTAAATGTGTGTATATGTATGGCATACATACACATAGTCTCTAGCCCTGTCCACTGAGAGCACCTGGGAGCAGTGACACCACAACAGCTTCTAGCATATAGATATTAACTTCTAAATATCATTCTCAACTTAAAATAACCAGATTCCTTGGAAAAATGGCTGACTCCAAGCCTGGGGCAGGGAAAGTACAGGTGAGACTGGAACATTTTGTTGTGCCAGAAAGCAAGGAAGTGCTCACAGAACGAAGAGGATATGTTAAAAGGATATAGAAATCATTCTGAAGGGGTTTCCACTCGCCAAATCTGAGACAAGGAAGCATCAAAATTATTATGATAGTACTAGATTATAACTCATTGAAGAAAAACAGAAATTCATGAGTCCATATTGACATTAATAAGAAAGTTAGTAAGTTGAAAGCCTAGTAACAAATGGAATATTTATATAGATTCAAAGTGCTTCTCCTCAAAATACTTATTATTACAAACATGAAAAGAGAAACTATATAGTGGAGAGCCCTGTAGACACCACTGTAACTGAGCAAAGTGATCATCATCAGTAATGGGACAAATGAAAATTATGTGCCCACTGATAATGAAAAGAACACAGCATCATACTTCCCTGGTAGCGCAGTCGTTAAGAATCTGCCTGCCAATGCAGGGGGCACGGGTTCAAGCCCTGGTCCAGGAAGATCTCACGTGCTGCAGAGCAACTAAGCCCCTGCACCACAACTACTGAGCCCGCACGCCTAGAGCCCATGCTCCGTAACAAGAAAAGCCACCGCAATGAGAAGCCCGCGCACCGCAACGAAGAGTTGCCCCTGCTCGCCGCAACGAAGCCCGCGCGCAGCAACGAAGCCGCCACGCAGCCTAAAATAAATAAATAAATTTATATATAAAAAACCCCCACAGCATCACTTCTGTGATATTCCTGTCAAATATGCACAACATGAATCTAAACGTGAGAAAACAAACTAACTGAGGGTACTTTACAAAATAACTGGCTTGTAATCCTCAAAGTGTCAAGGTTGTGACAGACTGAGAAACTATTCCAGACTGAAGGAGAGTAAAGAGACGTAGCAACTAAATGCAATGTATGATTCTGAGCTGAATCCTCCTGAAGTAAAGGACGTTATAGAAGTAACTGGAGAAATCTGAATGGGGTCTGAGGATTAAATGGTAGTCATGGGGACTTCCCTGGTAGTCCAACGGCTAAGACTCCATGCTCCCAACGCAGGGGGCCCAGGTTCAGTCCCTGGTCAGGGAACTAGATCCCACATGCCGCAGCTAAGATTTCACATGCCACAACTAAAAGATCCCGCACCCAGCAACAAAGATCCCCCATTCCGCAACTAAGATCCGGCACAGCCAAATAAATAAATAAATGTTTTTTTAAAATAGTAGTCATAGATCAACGCTAATTTCCTGATTTTGATGG